AAACATAAGTATGACCTTAAGTGTCATAGAATTAATGAAAGATCTAAACATTTTGAGTAAAATAATAATTTAATTAATATTAAAATTGTACAATTTGCATTATCTAAACATTGTTAAATAAAATCAAAATGTATTAATTTATCTTCTATAATTATCATCTTATGTAAAAACAATATTACACCATAAATACTTAATTTATATATTATATCTATAGCCTAGTCTTAAATATTATTTTATTTTTAAATTAATATTTAAAGATTCTGGGCCCCGCACATGTGGAGGCCCAGGGAAACATATTATTATGTATCTAAGTCGTTAAATAAAAACTATAAAGTTACGGTTTAGGTTACAATTTAGGTTAATGTTAAAAAATTATAGTTCAACTTCAAAACAATAAAATATATACTTTTTTGTAGAGTAAATTAATTGCAATAAAGATATTGTCTTAAAAATAGGAAGTTAAGCACTTTGAACAGATCAATGCAAGATATAGTGGTGAATTAATAACCATACATTTGATAGCAATGATAAATTATTACATTCGAAAACGAAAATAAGTGGAACTCAGATATAATCACTCAGATGTTTTTATCTTCAAATTATTATATTTTTAATGTATTATGTTTGTGTAATAGCCCGATGACTCTTATTTTACTCAAAACAAATTAAAACGTATCGCAGTATTATTGCCATAGAAAATCAACAACATTTGCAGTTTATGGTTAATTTTTCAAAGAGCAGCTGGAAATGTATTTCAGTGTTTGGTTTTAATAAGTTTTTTTATTTAATTTTTTTCTCTTTGGACATTTTGTCAGACAATGAAGAAGATTCACATAGGCACATAGGGGTGGTTTAATGTAGTATTTAATATATGCCAATATTCAATTTGAAATCGAAGCTAGTTTGTACTTGAAAAAAGTAATTTAATTTATTTTCGTTGTAGTTTTCTTTATGCAAGATAAAACTAGGTTGGGACAATGAACCTACAAATAACCTACGAAAAATATTATAAAGACATCCGAGCAAGTGTGATTTTATCTGAGATTTGTTCAGAATCGTTTTTTTTTAATGTCAAGACCCATGATTTATATTTGCTTCCAAAATGTATAATAATACACCATCACACTGTGTGTAAAGGTGAGGCTTATAAACTTGTAAGGGATCTAAATTATGTTTTTTTTATAATTTTTAATATAATATCGTTAAGAAATGAGTTATTTGTAAGTATATAAATATAAGCTAGGTGTTTCTTTCATGAGTAATAACTATGAACTAAGATATCTTAGTCTGTGGTAATAACACTAATATTATTTTTAAAAGTTTGAACGTTTCTAAATTTTTTTTACTGATATTAACAGTTTATAATATTGTTTATTTTTTTTTTGTTTTTTTTTTTTTTTAATTTTCTTTTTCTTTTTATAATTTTAAGATTTGAACAGTTTTTATGGTGTCAGCCTAGCACCTCAAAATCGAAATTCTGAGGTCAAACCATACTAAAAAAAAACGATTTAATAAGTCTCAATAATTTGTAACCAAAAAATCAGAGTTTTTAACCTAAGTCTTCATCCCCAAATACATTTTTTTTCTTTAACGGATGCTAAGCTGATAGTAACACTGAATTATAAATTTATATTTTATCACAAACTACAAATTTTGTAACCAATTTCTAAGAGGTGCTAAATTGAGAATGGTTCCTTATCATACTACTATGTAAAATAGAACCCCCTTTTTTGTATATAACTCAAAAAGTACCCAACGGATTTTAGTACAGTTTTCACTAATCAATAGGTCTAGATTCAGGTAAGGTTTTAATATACAATTTATTCGTATAACTTGATTAATAAAATAAATAAATTATTAGTGCCACACATCCGTATGTACTTAAATTGCATACAATTATCGTCCCGTGCACAGATTTCTCTTGCGCAGTGGCACTCTCTTTTTATTTTGTCGAAACAAAATAACTGAGTTCTTTCAGTATATAGATAACACATTAATTATCGTTGTCGATGAGCAAAGTGTATGGGAACTGCTGTGCGTATGTTTTTTGATGTCTAATTTGCTGGACCTAATTGAAAATGTTTAGTGTTTACCCAGATTCATATAATATTTCGACTATAACGTCAAGTTGGTGTCAAGAAAAGGCAATATTGTCACCAACTAACGATAAAGTCAATAAAATAAATGACATGATACTGTTAAATTTCAATGCACTAACAAAAGTGTACTATTCCGTTGATACTGATTTAGATACAGAGTAGGCGATACATTATCCAACTAAATTTTTAAATTATTTATCTCCTTCAGGGACTCCACCGCACAAATTAATTCTAAAGGTAGATTCTCCTATAATTTTACTTCTTAACTTAAGTCCACTAAAATTATGCAACGGTACACGATTACAAAGTATAAAATCCTTAAAAAACTGTCTGCTTGAGTGTATAATCCTTACTGGCTGTGGAGCTGGGGAAATGGTCTTGGTTCCTAGAATACCAATAATACCAACCAATTTGCCATTCCAGTTCAAACGGCTCCAATTTCCCGTGAAATTATTAAGCTTTGCAATGACTATTAATAAGGCACAGGTCAAACATTAAACGTTGCAGGTTTAGACTTAACCGTCCAGTGTTTTTCCCATGGTCAATATTGTACGAAGCTCTGTCACGTGTCACATGCAAACAAAATCTATTTGTGCTGGCCGTAGAAGCGAGACACTTAAAATGGTGTATCCAAAAATATTTAATGATTAAGACAAATTGATATAATTAACAAAAAAATAAAAATTATACAAATATATTCCACACTCATACATACAATTATACTAAAAAAATTAATCAAATTAAATATCTGATGTAATTCACATCAAATTTTTCACATATTCCTAAACATATATAAATTTACTGATATCTAATAATAGTAAAGTATTGCCGAGTCAGCTAGTATAATATATATTGAATACATTTGTATGTACACAATGTACATACTTCATAAGTACTGCGTATCTAAGGTCTTCGACCTACTTATTAGTTATTAAAACATTACTTATTCGCTAATAAACGTCTAAGAGGTATACATAAATTAAAAAAGGACCTAGCTTAAGTACTTACTAAATTTCAGATGTACAGATGTAAACGCATAATATGATTTTATTATATAACTATGTGGGTGTTTATTAAATAAAAAAAAAATATAACATATTTTATAAATTCATAATATTATATAACATTATACATTTGATTCACAATATTCTTTTGATGCAATGTTCACTTGTGTCAAATAAGTTATGAAATGCAATAAATAAAAAGATTTTATATTGAAATGTTTCTTTAGAACACATAATAAACATCTGCAACAATTTAATAAATTAAGTATATCACAGAATAATACAAGGTAATTAGGTAATATAATATTTGTTTTTTTTCTACACTAAAAAAATAAAAGAATTTCAAACGATACCTCAACCTTAGATACCTAGTACTTATGAAGTATGTGCATTGTATAGGTATAAATTTATTCAATATGTGTAAAGAATCATACTCAGTTTAGCATCCCTTACGAATTGGTTACAAACTTTGTAATTTGGTATTAAGTAGAATTTATAATTCGGGGTTACTACCCCAAATGAGCCCTATAAGCTCAGAATCCGTTATGGAAAGAAAAAAAGTGGGTAAGTAGATGTCCCTCTGCTGTGCAGTAGGTTACTAGTGAGTATAGTGAGTAGTGGGTCACTGTAATGGATAGTGTTAAATTTGAATTCAATGATATAAAATCATTGTATACGAAAAACGATTCTGAGCGAAGACGGTCTGTAAGCCTTTAATATTACTTAGTAATTTGGTTTATTTGATTATATTATTGTGATTAAAGTTTATTTAAATTTATTTTACTATTAAGTATTAGTACTACAGTAGGTTAAATTCATTTTTGCCAAAAATAAATACACTTTAAAAGTCATTGTGTGTATAAAATGTATAATAATGTACTCTAAAAGTTTCAAGTACCCACGAATAATATTCTTAAATTATAACAAAATATCATAAATCATTATTCTTGGTTATTTAATATGTAATTTCGTCCACATTTGAATACAAAACAACTATATTATAAAAAACTATACTTAAATATTTTTAGATATTTTGGTTACAAAATAACCTACTTAAGTGGAACCTTGTTTTAAATTTTCAGTCCTTAGCTATAAAAGTTGAAAATTTAAAAAATATTTAAATATAAGGTTATTTGTAAATTTTGAATTATATAAATATCGTCAAAATTTGAACTCTAAATGCTTAAAAAAAAAACTAGTGACTATATACAATATACTAGGAGTTTTTTTATACAATTTTCAAGTTTTTTGACCCAACAAATTTAATTTTATTGATATTTATAAAAAAAAAATAAAAAACTAGAGAAATTAAACATGTCCATAAACAGTTTAAAACGAGTTAACATATTTTGAACATTTTATCAAGTATATGAATTGGTAAAAAAAATGGTGTAAATTTAAAGTATCTACAGTTATTTATTTTTGAATTATAACAAAATCAGATAATCGCTACTTACAACTTACATGAGAAATGGAGTGAATATCCAATGTTTTCATTCAAACATTTTTTTTTTTTTTTAATTGATACATTATCTTCAGCAACATGGTCCATTGTGTTTATAAATAATAGAAATCGATAACATATTATTATACGAACTTATTCTTAATATTAATTTTTGATTTTGGTTTGAAGATTTACGACTGTGATGAATGGATGATGTTGGCTATGGGTTGAGGGTGATTGTGGAGTATTTTGGTTAGTGATTCGGACAGGTTGTGACTAATTCTGAGGTTTTTTGTATATTTGGCATTCATTGAGAATGTAATTGAACAAATAATTTATATTTCAGAATGTTTTATTATGCTACGTATACTTACATATTTTTTGTGATTCATCTCGATGCAATAATTATCATAATTTATGTTTAATTTTTTGTTAATTTTTCATTTGTTTCAGTTACTTCTCCAAGTCTTGGATGTCAGGTAACGTCTTCTATCAACTGTTCGACGATGATCGCTGCTTCAGTTTTGTTATGGAACGTATTCAGATAGTCTAAACGTGGAAATCTATATATATAATATATATATGTATATCTTAAGAGTCTTGTATTTCACACTTTTGCATGTAAATACAATTTTAAGTTGTAAGAAAAAAACACATCGAATAATACTGCGGAGTGGTAACAAAACATTACCACATGACAGAATTAAAAAAAAAAAGAAACGACCAGCGTGTTATATATTTTTTCAAAAATAAAGGAAATTCGATTGTGAGTTAATTATTATTATTTACCAACTTATTTTTTTTATCTTTTGACATTTTTAGATTAGATTAAGTGTTAACAAATAAAATGATTATTTACAACTACAACAAAGCGATGCATATTATTAAACGAATTTTGTAGATAAGTACGAAACATATAATTTTGAAAAAAGTGTTTGTAAATATTTATGATTTTATATACATATTTAATGTTTATTAATAAAAATATATTATATAGATTATGTAACCATTTTAATAGCAATATTAAATTTTGCTATTTAAAATCAGTTTGGTACCAAAGATAAATTTAAAAAAAGTTAACTTCGTGTTGGACTTTGAAAAGTTATTTAATATTTAATAATCCATTAGCATCTAATTTTGCTTTGTCGCTTGTTTGCACAGTTTCAATTTTGAAAATGGAAATAAAGATATTATAACACTATAATTTCTACAAAATATCAAAAATTATAATTATAAATACGTTGATTATAAATTGTTTAGTTATTTGAAGAAATAATTTTAATAACTATATTTAATTAAATCAAATGAAAATGTGTATAATATTGTTATTATTCATAAATATTATCGAATGTATTTGTTAAAAAAAAGATATTTTAAAGTATAGACACTTTTGATGTTAATATACGTCTAATTGATATACGTGTGTTTATCTTTTGTTAAATTATGATCGATTCTTTGTAATATCAATCTTATAAAATCAGTTAATAATATGATTCCCTAAGCATTTAAAAATTGCATTCATGTTCAATTTTATTTATGTATTTTATTTTATGCCTATTGACATTTTGGTTCCTCGATGAATACGTATTTTTATTTTTATGAATACTTAAGTATTTAAGCTTTGTCACACTTTCCAAAATGTATTTTTTAAAAAATATTCCTGTACTCCAATTTCATCATAGTATTCAAGTTTATAAGAAGTGATAGCAAATTGTTATCCATAATGTATGAATGAAAAATTATAACTCTTATAATAAAATAATTTTGATATTTTTTTAAGTCTTTACTTTAATACCTATATTATATTTTATTGTGTATTATATGTTTCAGTATAAACTAAAAAAAAAATGTTTTAATAAAAAAAAACTTAAGCAATTCCATGTATTTATAATTAATATATAAATAACAAATGTAATAATATATCCTTAAAAACAAAATAAATAGTTTGAAAAATGTGAAGATTTTACCAGGATTTTTGCAAACTCAAAATTAATTTTTCTTACTTATAATCAGTTATAAAATATGAAAATCAAATTTATATTATGAATTAATCTTTACCTTTTTGTTTGAGTAAACATTTATGATCAATTAACAAATTATTAAATCCTTTCACTACCTCCTAAAATCGAAAAATTATTCACAATAGCTATATAAAGCGCAAAAAAGGTTCAACCCAGAAAAGGGAATCAACTTTGAATTCGGATGACTGGTAAGTACCAATAAATGGACAAATACACTCTGTTATAAACGTTTATCTATAACCTCAAGTAGATATAAAAAAAATATTGATGAATACCTATTAAAAAGATTTAAAGTAGTATTCCAGTTTTATTAAATTTATTCCTCTGACTTGTTTGTTAACTCTCAAAAGTTTCAACAAGATGCAATTTAAATACCCACATAATATTGAAGTAACAGGCATTTTTATTATTGATCAATGATTTTGATCTAATAATAGTGTGTTAAATATTAATTAATATTTCTACTAAAATAACGTTGTCTTTAGCATTGAAATATCGAATATCAATAGGTACTCATTAATTAAGTAGCTAAAAAGAGTATAAACATAATATTATAGAGTTCTGAACTTACCGGATGGTATAACCTGTACACATCTATAAATTCAATTAATTTTAATCTTTGTGCGTGATACAAAGCAAAATCAAAAAGTTATGAATTTATAATATTATAACTTTTTACATACTTTTAAATTTTTTTCTACTGCATATGAACCTTGTTTTAGCATGTCTGGCTCTTAAATGTTTTAAAACAATAACAATTTAAGGACTACAAACATTTTTTGTATCAGCAACAAACTAACAATTACAATTTTTTTTGTTAAAAACAACCTAACCTTACCTAGTGTGTCATTTATAAATAAAGGTATATAACAATTATTAAAAAATTCCTTAATTAAAATATTGAATCAAGTTACTTGAAAAAATGTATGTATTGTGAAAAATTAAATGTTCAGTAGCAAAGTGTATCAGCTGTCAAACACATATTTGTTATTATAGTTATCTATAAACTATCATTACAGCTTTAAAATAAGAAGACCAGCTGCCAAGTTCATCGATCACATTTTATATAAAAAAAAAAGAAAAAATATTTTGAATTATGAACGAAGGGAGAATGTTATTGGTTTTACAACGATGTGTATTTTTTCCTATGAACATATTTTAGGGTAGTAAACGTGGTCCAAATGTTTTGTGTAGCATGTGCAATAGATTGTAAAATGAGTGTAGATTTATAGATTATACTGTATGATTGTCAAGAAGATCACGAAATACAACAAAAGAATTTGTCTACACTTAATACATATTCAATTATTGATACAAATTATAATTTATATTCATGTGTCCCTGAACTATTTAACAAATTTAACAAAATATCAACCTCAGTATTTAGTAGTTATACTATTAATATATTGTATCAGTTTTCAAATAGCGAAATAAAAAAAAAGCTGTATAGGTACTGACTAGTATGTAATTTAAAAAATCTCAGTCTAGCTGTATTATATATTTTATCAGTAACAAAATTAATTTTTAATTCTATAAAATACATATTTTAATATTGTCTAAGTAAGTAGGCTCCTTATATTTACTATTACTTAATTATTTACTTACTTACTTATGTATTTTAATTGAAATATTTTGTATTTAAACAAATAAGATACAGTGTCAACAACAAATATAAAGTCAATTGCAGTACACAAATTCCATTTAAGGTATTTAATATTTCATATTTTTATTAATAGGTACGACTAACAAAAGAATTTAAATTGCGTAGTTTATTTTGGAAAACCTTATTTATAAGATTTGACCTCAATATTCGTTTTTGAAGTTCAGTGTTTCAAGTATTTGGTTACAATTTAAGTGTATCTAGGATACCCAAGGGCAACACATTTTAAGTATAATAATAATTATAATTTTGGAAGTTTTCAACAATTATATTTCCAAACAATTATAAACAATTCAGTATCAAACATTTTAAATACAAAACATCATATTTAATTTACATTATCTGTGATAGACATAAATTGTGTATAAAGACTAAGGTGTAAATTACATTTTTTATTTTTATTAACAATTATTTTGTACGAAAACAAAATATTATTTTTCATATTATTTATTTTAAAAATAAATATCTAAAAATAAATAATTTTAATTCTATGAGAGTATAATCATGTAGGGATTATAATATTTTATGATATATTAGACTAGGTATGTAATAAGCTTAAATGTATTAATATTTCTAGAACAGTTCAAACGTCATTTGTTCTTCCAAAAACTCTACGTACTAATTTATAGTTGATGTCGTATTCCGTGCCAAAAGTTAAAATAATTACCCATAGTAAAATAATTGTTTTGTGTGTGTTGTATATTTCAACTGAGCCAAACTATAGGGGATTATAGGGTGCGTTTACATCCAGGACTACAGGCACTAAAAGGGCTCCATTCTAAAATTTGAGTTTATAGTGTGTTTTGATCAAATATAATTCTTATTTTCAACTAAATATTTCATAGTTTGTAGATTTGTTACCTATTTTTACTAAATTGTCTCGTCACATGCTGAAAGTTTAACATAGAAAAAAAATCAAATTTTCACGTTTGGACTAATTTTTTTTCATCTGTTATTTTCTCGTTGGCCGGAAATGAGATTTAGCGCAGAAAGAAAAGTTGGGTTTCGTTGGGAAAAGTTAATACCTTTTCATATCACTGATATATTATCTTATTGCATAGGCATTATAACTTATAAGTCATATACGTCTCAAAAAAATAAAATAATCCCAGTTCGAAGCAAACATGACGGTACTGCAGTGTATGAGACCGGCTGTATATTTTGCTCCGGGCCAAATATAATATCGCTACCAAGTTACGCTACTGCGTCTCAGTATGAAGTTCAACGAATAAGGTATGGTTGTTTATAAAATGGGCGACGTTCACCGAACGAAAGATAATAATTATTATGTTGTTTATTCCGTATGTCAATTTAATGAATCTTACAAATAGGTTGGGTCCTCAAATACAGTAAGAAACTTTAGAAAATATAAAGTTCGCTGTCTAGAACGGTGCCACCAGCTTTTATTATCTTTACATCCTAAACACGTAATACAACACAAGAACTCTCCATAAAACAGAAATGCCAAAGTTTCGATTTATGTATCAAAGACTAAATAAACAGGTTGGTATTAATACTTGTTATGAAATATAAAGAGAACAACATTGCTCCCTGCAAAATTGTGTTTTATATTTAAAATAGGTAATTTAAATAGGTCAGTTTACCATAATGTTATATTATTCTTTGAAATATTAATTTGGTATTTACCGTTTTGGTATTGCGAGAAAGAGGAACGGGGATAAATGACAGGGAAGTAAAGTTAATTAACAATGAACACAAGTTATTCAGTATTTTATACTTAAAAATAATATTTTTCTTAACAATTTCTTTCCCGTACGAAAACAAAATATTAGTTAATATTCGACTGTTAGTGCAAAATATAAATTTAATGCATTACTATGCAGGGTGTACTTATATTCTTATGTCGTTGTACGTGTGATTTTTTAACGATCATGAATAATATAGAATTTCAAAAAAACTTTATTTCTTTATTTTTACTTGGCAATTGTTTCATCTCACTATGAAAGTTGTACCTACCAACAGCAAAATCAACTTATTATTTTTTAAATTATAACGGGTACATTATTGATAGATTTTGGTTGAGCTTT